AGGACTAGATGTCAAAATGTCCTCTTATCTTCTTATATATATATATATATATATATATATATATATATATATATATATATATGAGAGATTGGAGGTATGAGAGGGGAATGGGAGGTATGGAGAGAAGGGAAACTGAGATTGTGTTATATGTATATTATATCTTGCATATATTATCACTGAGAATTTCTCAGAGTGTTGAGTCGGCACTCCAATCAAAGTCATAACATTGATTGATTTGTCACATTATCTAAAAGACTTGATTATGATTCAGCCTAAATCAGGAAAGGACAATTCATCAGGTTTAATTTTTTATTAATACACATTTCAATTGAACCATTAAGCAACCTAGAGTATGTTTTTAAGTAAGTATAATGTCTTGGCAAAGTTTGTACTATGTAAAATTCCATAAGAGTTACAATGCTACTGATGGCTATTTTAGAGTAATATTTTGCCATCCTCATAAAACACAAACCAATAGCACTACTGTGAAATAAACGTAGCTTTCAGCCTTGCAGTGCTATTAGACAGGTTTGTGAATTTTACTTAAGTATTTGCTACCTCAGCCAATACTGAGAATGGTAGACTTACCCATGTTGAGAGTTTTATTGGACTAACAGTGGTCAGTTTTTAATGGAAGTAGTAGTTTAGCATTGGACCCTAGAATATACAATGGACATCTTAATTTACTTGGTAATATCACTATCTAAATGTATGCAGTAAGAATTTTCTCAGTGTACATAAGAATTTTCTCATCTTTGTGTCTGACCTAGATGACTAACACTAATTTAGAGTAACAAAAAGCAGCAGTTTTCCAGTGAATGAATGGTTAATGTTCAGAGACATGAACCTCATAGGATGGAGGAGTATCTGTGCAGTTACTTCGCTGCTCTTGCTGGACTTAGTGATTCTGAAGTACAATGGGGGTTTTTAAACATTTCTAAATTAAAACATACCCAGTACACTATGAGACAGTGGTGCACACAGACTGGTAGATAAACAGTCAGAATTTCATGAGGAAGTTCCTATGATAAGGCACTTCCTACAGGCTGACAAGACAGCAACATGACACAGAAGCTGGAGTACTGGGAAAGTGTCTGATGTCTCTGGCTGCTGTGTGCACTAGGAGCTCCATGGGTGAGTACTGGGGATTTTATTGCCCAAGGCTTTTCTCTTGTTAAGAAATAAGGCTGAGGTTTCCTTAGTGTATAAAACAAACTGAGCTAAATAAATAAAAGAAAATATGGAAACATTTTTAAATGATGGCTAGAACTGTAAAATTTGAATTCAATGATGGTGTTTTAGAAATAAAACCATTCAAGGTAAATTCACAGAAGTAGCTTTGGTTGATTCATATAATGTTACTATTATCTGGATAATCTTGGTTGTATGTAATCTGTGAAGCCAAACTGCCCCAAACCACACTGCTTTAGAGTTGAATAGATACACAAATGCATCTTCACTATCTCTGGACTCAATGAATGTTATCTTTAAATTAAAAGGAGAATTATTGTTTGATTGGGAAAATGAGTAAGTAAGGGAGCAGCAGAATTAATATGAGCATAGGGAACCTTTGGAACTAAGGTCTGGATTCCAGCACTGACTGTATTGTTGGCTTCATGAACTTGTACATTGTCCTCTAAACTCATCACATTGTGTATTTGGCATACATAAAGTCTTCTCATATAGCCAAATTTCAGTAAAATGGCTTAAGAAGGTGACAAAGAATCCCAAGGAACAAAGTGAGATATGACAATTGCAGGTTGGTGAAGCACATTTTGGGTTCTAAGCACCTTTGATAAAAGTTGGGGGCCTATCCTAAAATACTGTAAATTTTTCTCCTTTTGTCTCATTATCTAAAGGTTTCTACTGGCCTCTACATGCATCAAGCACTCATAAGGGGTACATGCAGACAGAACACCCATATACATACAATTTTTTTAACTTTTTACATTTTGTTATTTCAATGTTTTTCACAGGTTTGCACATTTTGGTTTCTTTTGCTTATTTTTATTTTCACTTATTTAAAGAAAAATAATTGATTAACATTTTTGAAAATTTTATATGTATATAATGTACTCTTAATATTTTCCCCCACACCTTCTGTCATCTCCACCCACCCCTGTCAAGTTCCTCCCAAAATCCAAGTCAGTCTGTTTGCAGTTTAATGACATTTTGTGTGCTGACTTGTTTTGTGGACACAGAGTTGGGGTTATCAGTATGTATGCATCTAAAGACAATGTCTTTACCTCTCCCAGATAGTTCAGCAGTGAGTGCAAAGGGCTCCTCTATCCACGATTCACTGTATTCAAGTCCATTCTTGAGCAGACCAAGTGCACAGTTCCCCTGATGGGTGTGACTGCAATTACTGTGTCTTGCACAGAAGATGAAGTTTCACAGGCTTTCCTCCCATTTCTTGGCCCTGTCTTTCTAAGCAGTAGAGAGGATGACATAAGTGACTTATTAAAGGCTTAGTAGTCCCCAGTAATTTAGTCAAATCATTTTGGGAATCTATAATTGATAATCATCACAAGTCCCATAAAAAAGCATTTCTGATTAACTGAATGCAGCATTTATCTATGTATACAAACATACATATTTAGGGGGAAGATTGACACTTGTAATTGTAGCTGGAGTTTTCTCTCCAAGTCCCACCAAGCCCTGGCAGTCTGACAACCCACTTACAAAATAAACACACAGACACTTATTTAAACTGCTTGGCCATTAGCTCAGGCCTATCATTGTCTAGCTCTTACTCTTATATTCAGTCCATTTCTATTAATCTGTACTTTGCCACGTGGCTTGATGCTTACTGGTACCTTACATCTTCCTTGTCCTGGTGGTGGCTTCAGTCTTCTCATCCCGCCTTCCTGTTCTCTTCATTTTCCTGTTAGTCCCACATATACTTCCTGCCTGGCTACTGGCCAATCAGTGTTTTATTTATGTAGAGCAATATTCACAGTACTTTCCCTTTTCTTTTTTATTTCCAAAGGGGTTTTAACTTTAACATAGTAAAATTACAGATAACAAAACAATTATCAAGCAAGAATTACAGTTACACTGCCTTGGACTTTCCTTCTGGACCAGAGGTGAGTGTCCTGGTTCAGCCCGGACCCCATCCCTGAACACCAGCCACTCCAGGGAAGACCTGCCTAACTTGGCCCCAGGTTCTGGCCACCAGGCTGTTTCCCTTCTAGTCCCACCGGGAAGGATCCCCTTCTCCAAGAACCCGGCAGACCCTGCAATCTCTACTCCCTGGCCCCATGCCCATCTGCCTGAGACCCCAGCCACTTCCTGAGACTTAGAGTCTGGCCCCCAGCTCCCATCCTGCCCTAGACTTCCCTTATGGGCCAGAGAGAGAGCTCCCATCCTGCCCCAGACTTTCCTTCTGGAGCAGAGAGAGCCCCCATCCTGCCCCAGATTTCCCTTCTGGATAAGTGCTTTCATCCTGCCCTGGAGTTCCAATTTGGACAAGAGAGAGAGACTTCCTGAATCTGTCAGCTCTGTCTGAAGCAAGTGCACTGATAAGACCAAGAAGGAGCACCCGGGCAGTGAGGGAAAGAGGGTGCGGCTGCGGCAGCGGGGACAGAGGCACCGAGGGACCCGGCGTGGACCGCGGAGATGCTGGGCATGGTGGCCGGAATGACCAACAGCAACATGGCCAATGCCTTGGCCAGCGCCACATGTGAGCGCTGCAAGGGAGGCTTTGCACCTGAGAAGATCGTGAACAGTAATGGCGAGCTGTACCATGAACAGTGCTTCGTGTGAGCTCAGTGCTTCCAGCAATTCCCAGAAGGACTCTTCTATGAGTTTGAAGGAAGGAAGTACTGTGAGCATGATTTCCAGATGCTCTTTGCTCCCTGCTGCCACCAGTGTGGTGAATTCATCATTGGTCGGGTTATTAAAGCCATGAACAACAGCTGGCATCCTGAGTGCTTTCGATATGACCTCTGCCAGGAAGTGCTGGCAGACATAGGGTTTGTCAAGAATGCTGGCAGACACCTGTGTCGTCCATGTCATAATCGTGAAAAGGCCAGAGGCCTTGGGAAATATATCTGTCAGAAATGCCATGCCATCATTGATGAACAGCCTCTGATCTTCAAGAATGACCCTTACCATCCAGACCACCTCAACTTTGCCAACTGCGGGAAGGAGCTAACTGCTGATTCCCGGGAGCTGAAAGGGGAGCTGTACTGTCTGCCATATCATGATAAGATGGGAGTCCCTATCTGTGGTGCTTGTCGGAGGCCCATTGAAGGGCAAGTAGTGAATGCCATGGGCAAGCAATGGCATGTGGAGCATTTTGTTTGTGCAAAATGTGAAAAGCCATTTCTTGGACATCGCCATTATGAGAGGAAGGGCTTGGCTTATTGTGAAACTCACTATAATCAGCTATTCGGTGATGTCTGTTTCCACTGCAACCGTGTAATAGAAGGGGACGTGGTCTCTGCCCTCAACAAGGCCTGGTGTATGAGCTGCTTTGCCTGTTCCACCTGCAATACCAAGTTAACACTCAAGAATAAATTTGTGGAGTTTGACATGAAGCCAGTCTGTAAAAAGTGCTATGAGAAATTCCCACTGGAATTGAAGAAAAGACTTAAGAAACTGGCTGAGACTTTAGGGAGGAAGTAACTTCTGGTTGGTTTGTTTTGTTCTGTTCTGTCTTCTAACCTATAGTACTTAACTTGACCCACCCTTATCTAAAGGTGGATCAAAGCATTAGAATGCTTTTCTTCACTTCCCTTTTCTGATTTAAAAAGAAAACATATCTATTCTGATATAAAACACAGATGAAATCAAGACTTTAGCCTTAGCAGTCTGTGGACTATTTAAAAAATAAAGAGGAAAGAAAATAAAATTAAAAAAAAAAAACATGTTAATGGGTAATTTTGATTAAGCCTTGTCTTCCAAACAATAAATTTAACTCTTCAACATGAAGCACTGTGCTCTGCAAATCAACACTGGGTCTGTGTGGGAAGAGAACCCACTTCTACAAACCGTCCTCTAACCTCCACAGTCTTAGGCCAGCCACAGCTGTGCAGTGAAACCTTGTTTCAAAGATGAGAAGTGGCTGTGCACATCATATGACCTGTGTGCTGATACCTGTGCTTCATCCCTAATCTCACTTGCCTTGCTTGCCTTAGAAAACTGCATTCCCTAATCAGGAATGCTATATAATACCAAATAAAAATAAATACTTTGACTGGGATTTATAAAGAGTGAGGTTTTACATGACTCAGATTTTAAAAGACTCCAGACTTTATTTTATATCATAAGAAAACTCACTCCTATACTGGAGAAGGATATAAGAAAGATAAGTAAACTACCAAAATAATTCCTATGCAGTCTTAGTGTATTTATCCAGTTAGTGTTGTAAAAGGAACATGCATATTACTAAAAAGCAGAAGTGTTTCAGAATGACTTGAATTTTTATTATATCACTATGCTTAGTTTTCTGTTTTGTTCTCCTTATGAACTTTTTTCTTCGTACAGTTACTTAATAAAGTTGCTGTAGCTACTAGTATGTCTTTTACAGTCTTGAGCAAAACAAACAAAAAAACTATGCCAGTTATCTTGAAAATACTGCACACTTTGTGATATTGGGAAAATGAAGCATTTTAAAAATATATTACACAATTATGCTTTTAAGCTTAATGTAAAATATATAGTATTCAA